ATTACAACCAGGACTGTACTGTGTCCCATACTGTTCATGCATGTTTCTTCTGAAAATGGAATGAAACAAAGACGTCTTCCTCGTTGGTTTGGAAACAAAAGAAATTCAGGGCTAAAGAACTAAAACCCCAACTGCAAGTCCAAGAATTTCTGGTCTCTCTACAATTAAATTTGACTTGAATGGATGCTGTTTGTTATGACAGTCAAGCAAGAGTAATTACAGGCAGTAATTTTATCTGCAAACTATGAGAATCTGTAATTGAAATATGTGTTACATTTTTATGCTTGGCTGAGCTCTACAGAATTTATGCAGCAAATTAATCGAATCCAGTGCTCATAGCATTTTTATTATGTATCCATATTCTATTATCTAATTTTGTGTAGATATTCGAAACTTTAATTTTTCAAATGCAAGCAGGCATAAGGTCTTTATTCCAAAATTAAATACGAAAGCATAAGAAGCACCAAGTTACAATTTTGTTTTGACTCCTCATTTTTTAAATCAGATATGTAAACCAAGTCTTTGTTTTTGTTGGTCTCAGGTGCTAACCGTGTGACCCTGGAAGATTCCAACATCCTTCAGCCAATGGGACTCACTGTGCTGGGGAATCACTTGTATTGGATTGATCGTCAGCAGCAGATGATTGAGAGAGTGGAGAAAATGAATGGGTACAAAAGGACTCGAATTCAAGGCCGAATTGCTCACCTAACAGGCATTCATGCTGTGGAAGAGCTTGATATGGAGGAATTCTGTGAGTTTATTTCAATATCTGGCGTGTCTCACTCTTGGTCACTGTCTCAAAGTCCTCCTCCAGCTCAATATTGTAGTAACATTGTACAGTCGGCTTCAAGTAAGCCATGGAGTGATTGTGGCTTTGCCAGTCAGGATCCTAGAAGAGGAGGAGAAACAAGTTCCTTGTTCTTGTCCAGAGGAGTATGTCTGCACAGCTTTAATATGTGATGTCATGGCACTTATTGACCTGTTTTGTACAATCTCACATGATATTATATTATTATATTCACACTAAAAGCTACTTGTAATTATGGTTGTACAACCAAATAGTAAGACTTGGAAAAACCTTTAGAAAGAAAGAAAAGGTTTGTACTTGCCTTTTCTCCAGGGCTTTCAGACCCCTGTTGAAATCATGACTGGTTTGGCTCGGCACACCTGATGATGTAAAAGCCTCCAATGAAGGAGGGAGAATGAGCAGGAAGCTCCTACAATGAATTATTGTGGATGTAGAATTTCTCTCCCATCAGAGGTGGAGCCATTTTAGGCACTGTCTTCTGAAAGGAGTCACACATGGGCAGGGACACCTCCCACCAGCCCAGGCTGCCCAAAGCCCTGTCCAACCTGGCCTTGAACACTGCCAGGGAGGGGGCATCCACAGCTTCCCTGGGCAACCTGGGCCAGTGTCTCACCACCCTCACAGGAAAGAATTTCTTCCTAATCTCTGGTCTAAAACTCCCCTCTTCCAGTTTAAAACCATTCCCCCTCATTCTATCACTACCTGCCCTTGTAAAAAGTCCCTCCTCAGCTTTCCTGTAGGACCCCTTCAGGAACTGGAAGGCTGCAATAATGTCTCCCTGGAGCCTTCTCTTCTCCAGACTGAACAGCCTCAACTCTCTCAGTCTGTCCCCATAGGGGAGGTGCTCCAGCCTCTGATCATCTTCATGGCCTCTTCTGGACCTGCTCCAACAGCTCCATGTCCTTTTTGTGTTCACAGGCCTGCAGGTTGGGTCTCACCAGAGCAGAGCAGAGGGGCAGAATCACCTCCCTCAACCTGCTGGCCACACTACTTTTGATGCAGCCCAAGATATGGTTGGTTTTCTGGGCTGCAAGCACACATTGCCAGCTCATGTTGAGTTTTTCATTGACAGACAACCCCAATCTAACTCCTCCATAGTGCAACTTGAGGCCATTTCCTCTTGTCCTATCACTAGCAACTTGGAAGAAGAGACCAACATCCACCTCACTACAACCCTCATTCAGATAGTTGTATGGAGCGATGAGGTCTCCCCTCAGTCTTCTCTTCTCCAAACCAGTATACCAGTTCCCTCAGCCACTCCTCATACGACTTGTGCTGCAGACCCCTCACTAGCTTTGTTGCCCTTCTCTGGACACACTCCAGTGCCTCTGTGACCTTTAGTTCCATTCACCACAACTCTCTGTGCTCGGCCATCCAGCCAGTTTTTAACCCAGCTTCACGTATGCCCATCTAGGCCATGAGCTGCCAGCTTCTCTAGGAGAATGCTCTGGGAGACACTTTACTGAAGTCCAGATAGACAACATCCCTCATCCCCTAGGAGGGTCACCTGGTCATAGGAGATCAGGTTGGTCAGGCAGGACCTGCCTTTCATGAACCCATGCTGGGTGGGCCTGATCCACTGGCTGTCCTGCTCATGCTGTGTGAGCGCACTCAACATGAACTGCTCCATCACCTTCCCTGGTACCAAGGTCAGACTGACAGGGCTGTTATTCCCCAGATCCTCCTTCCAGCCCTTCTTGTAGATGGGCGTCATGTTTGCAACCCTCCAGTCGACTGGGACCTCCCAGTTAACCAGGACTGTTGATAAATGATGGAGAGTGGCTTTTTTTATCTCTTTTTCCCACCCC